GGAATAAAGCCCTCCTAGCAACTTGCATCAGCTTGTCACTTACCAGCAACTTGTAACTTTATAGTAACTTGTATTAGGAATAGTGTGGCCAGCAGGAGCAGGGCAGGGATGGTTCCCCTGTGCTTGACACTGGGGAGGACACACCTCAAATCCTGGGGTCAGTTTTGGCCCCCTCACCACAAGGACATGGAGGGGCAAGGGAGCTGGGGAAGGGGCTGGAGCACAGGGGTGAGCAGGAGCAGCTGAGGGAGCGGGGGGTGTCCAGCCTGGAGACAAGGAGGTGAGGGGAGACCTGCTGGCTCTGCAGCTGCTGAGAGGAGGTTGGAGCCAGGGGGGTTGGGCTCTGCTCCCCAGGAACAAGGGATGGGACAAGAGGAAATGGCCTCAAGTTGCACCAGGGGAGGCTGAGATTGGATATTGGGAACAATTCCTTCCTGGAAAGGGTTGTCAGGCCCTGGCCCAGGCTGCCCAGGGCAGGGGTTCAATCTCCATCCCTGGAGGGGTTTCAAAATCCTGTAGATGTGGTGCTGAGGGACGTGGGTTAGCACTGGACTGGGTAGAGTTGGGTTAATGGTTGGACTTGATCTCCAAGGTCTTTTCCAACCATGACAACTCCATCATTCTGTAATTAACTAGGACCTTGTGGCTACAAAAAAAAAAACTGCCCCTGGGCTGTCCAGTGTGAGAAGGGAGGTCAGGACTGAGGACTTGCCTTTGATGGCAGGTGCCTTTCAGCCCAGTAAGGGACAAAAGGATTATTTTCTGTTGACTTCCTGTTGATTTGTGTCTCTTCTGGAGCAGGCTCTAAAACCCTGAGCAAGAAAAATGCCCGGGGAGTGGTTCCCACCAGCTCTAGCTCTGCCAGAAACGTGTTGGACTCCTCTGGACCATTGGGCTCTGCAGCCTGATGGGAACATTCCTGCCTGGACCACAAAGTGCTGCAGGCAGTTGGAACAATTTGCTTTCACTTGTGGTAGCACCTGGATTTTGACACAGCCTTTGGCAGGTGATGTAACCAGGATCTGAACTTCCTCCTAAACCAAGGGAGGTTTGTGGCACAGAGCCTGGCTTAATTAGGGGTCTGAAGGAGAGGAAAGGAGCAGGATGCCAGCACCACAGCCTGGTAGAGCAGGTCCACAAGGACATACAGTGCCCAGGACTGTTCAGTGTTTTCCTGTTCCTTTCTGAGCTGCTGCTGCTGGTGACAAAGTGCTGTGCTCAAAAAGATGGGAAGGATCAAAACGTGAGGAAGGGAGGAGAGCCCTCACAGCCCACATTCTGCAGCCATCACCTCCTTCCCCTTCAGCCTTCCTGTGACCGAGCTGGGCCAGGGGCAGGGCAAAGCTTTGTGGCTTCTGAAGCTGCTCCAGGGGCTGCTCCCCAGCTCCAGCAGAAGAAGCTGGAAGCATCACTCCAAGCCTGCATCCTCCTGGGCTCAGGGAGGAGGGCTTACAGTGAGAACCACCCTGGAGCCCCCCTGGGAGCACCATCCCTGCTCCCACAGCCCCTACCTTCAGGTCCTTGGAGCGCTCGGTGCTGTCCTGCACGGCCCGGCTCTGCTCCAGGGGGGGCCTCAGGTTTGCAGTAATTGCCTTCTCCTGCTTGTCCAGGTCACTGTTCACCTTCTCCAGCCCTGCCAGAAGCTGGCGCCCCCGAACTGATGCAGCATCTGGATGAAGAAGAGGGACCAGTTTCAAGCTGTACCCCGGGCTCCATCCCCCTCCGCTGCCTGAGCCCTGTGCTCCCCAAGACCCCGAGGAGATGGGAAGCTCTGGGTGACACCCCCCCCCCCCAAAGGTGGGCCACCACGCCTCAGCAGAAGGTTGCAGCAGCTTTTCTGTCCCCAGGAAGGGGCCCAGCCCAAGCTGCCCCTGCAGAGCCAGACCTCCAATGCTGTCTGCCTTGAGCCCCTCGTAGCGCTGCTGCAGGATGTTCTTGCAGTTCCCTGTCTTCTCCTTCACCCCCACGTAGCGATCAGCAATTCTGCAGAACAGGGCAGCAGGTCAGGGCCAGGACCTCAGCAGTGTCCCTGCACTTCCCCTCCATCCCCCCATCCTGGTGCTGCTCTGGGAAGGAGGTGCAGCTCTGGAGGGACTCGTGGGACCCAGCAAGGGGGGCAGAGGCACCTTCACCCCACGTTGGTGAAGGGGTAGAGCAGTGTCTTCACCAGAGGGGTGAGAGCAGGGGAGAGGCAGCAAAGGCAGGTTCCTGCCTGCTGGGGGGCAGCTCCCCCTGCCATGCTGGTCCCCCAAAAGAAAGGGGGGCCTGGATGGCTCTGAGCTGGCCCCATTTTTCCAGGTGGGATCCTGCGTGCGAGCAGGAGGGTGCAGGAATTTCTCCTGGAGGAATTCCTGGGGCTTCAAGCAGGGCACGGCTGCTCCGTGGGGCTGGGGGCAGGAGCCCCTCACCAGCCCAGCACGGGGGCTGCAGCACTGGGGGGGCGGCCTGGGACGAGGGAAAAGCCCTGTGGGAGGCAGTGGGAGGGTCTGGCAGGGCAGGCTGGGGGGGCGGGCTCATACTGGTCTGCCAGTGCTATTGCTTCT